TACAAGCGCCTCTTTCACCTACAAGGTGCGCAACGACACTGACGGCCAGGTTCAGTGCACTCGACTTAGAACATTCACCTCAGAGTCCGAGCTATGTGAACTGCGTAACCAACACATAAGAGAGCTACGTGACCCCGTGCACAACCCAAAACCCTTTAGTTGCAGAAAGAGTCGACAACGACAGCGAATGTAGCGAAAATCGATCCCGTCATCTTTTTATTTTGGCTTCGTCCACCTTCTCATTTTGATCCTCTGTCCACCCCTGGAATGATCCGCTACATTGCATCCCTAACCTTCTCCTCCTACAGATTGCTTCATTGCTTCACTACCCTGATGAACCCGTCACCAGAGGTCTCAGTTCTGACCTGAGACTCCACCCCCCATTTCCTAAGATCCTACGCACATCCCCACTTTCTGGGCCTGCATCCACTCTAATCAGAAAGTCGCGCTGCCGGTGAGGTTGGCAGTCCCTCATACATTTCCCTTGTGGTGTGCATATGTTTGGATGCCTGTGTGAGTATGTGGTCACTGCATGTTGCACTTTGAGTTCAAAGGTCTAGCAACATTCCCCCTCGCACACACACCGAGAGATGGTTAACAACTGACACTATTGACATGTCACTTTCAGCCACTTCAGGTCCCCACCTGAAACTCCTGAAATGACCTGAAGTGGCTGAAGATTCTGAAAGGGGTTTCAAGTACCCCCATCCAAATGGTTGGATGGGGGTACCTGAAACCCCTTTCAGAAGCTTCAGGCACTTCAGCAGTTTCAGGTCCCCACCTGAAATTCCTGAAATGACCTGAAGTGGATGAAGCTTCTGAAAGGGGTTTCAAGTACCCCATCCAAATGGCTGAATGGGGGTACCTGAAACCCCTTTCAGAAGCTTCAGCCACTTCAGCGGTTTCAGGTCCCCAACACCTGAAACTCCTGAAATGACCTGAAGTGGCTGAAAAAACAGGCTGAAATATATATATATATATATATATATATATATATATATATATATAAAACGTGTCCTCCAAACCACCCGAAACTTCTGAAATGACCTGAAGTGTCTTCAGGCCATTTCAGCGGTTTCAGACCACTTCAGAATCTTTCATTCTGAAATTTCAGGTGGTCGTTAACCGCTAGTGCACACACCCTACACACACACATTCACATTGTTTGTTTGTTCTTTCTCAGTGCCCCTATGCTCTCTTCAGTGTGCAAGTGAAACACCTTTAGGACGTACCAAACAGTCACTGCACGTTGTTAGAAGTGCCTGCAACACCATTAGGTGGCCTGCTGTTTGGGGGATGCTGTGTCTCTCTATTCGTTTTCCAGTGATGACACACATTCAAGTGTGAACCTACAGTCTGCAGGGTTTCCATATGATGCGAGTTGGTGATAGTCTGTTGTTCCTGCCTATCCTCTGTGTTCATGCCGCGTTGATGTCTATCCGCTCTACTGATGTTGTCACCCCTGTCACCTTACTGTGATGGTGCTTGCCTGCCTACCTGCCTATCCACCTGCCTGCCCAATTCCCCTTCCTTTTTTTATTTTTATTTTTTTTTGTATTTTTTATAATAAAAACAGAACCTCTTGGTTCAGGCCCCTGCCATTCTGGGGAGCAACAACCCGGTTCCTATTCCCCCGGCAAGTCAAATATAAATACAATGAAAACACGCCCACACTCCTCCCCATTATGGTTGAGAGCCCCGAGTGGACGACATTGATTACTTCCCTAAGGGAAGGATATACCACCCCTCACCCGCGCCTAAGGTTAGCCTATATCCACTATCTTATGATACTCTGAGACGCCTAGCTCCTAGCTCTTTTTTTTTCCGCTGAGTGCTGTCTGATAAACCTGAATGCTAGCCTATATCAACTATCTTCTGATCCTCTAAGACGCCTAGCTCCTAGCTCTTTCCGCTGAGTGCTGTCTGATAAACCTGAATGCTAGAGCTAATATTTGGGGCTGGCTTCTAAGGGAATGTTTAGTAATTGCTTATACGAGAACCTTGTATGAACTTGCATACTTCTTAATCTCTGTCGGATTTATCTTCTAACGTCCTCCCTCCCTCTCCGTTTTTATGCTGCCAAGTACTCTCAATTTGGGTACTCAAAATCCTAACTGCATTGCTATTTCAACCTTCATCATTTTCTTAAACCCTATCCCCTAGGCTTATCGGGTCATCTGTTGTACGCATTTTAAAGTTTTATCCTATCCTTAAGGGTAATATCGTAAAGCATACTGGTGTGTTCATTCTGCTTAAGACCTAGATTCGGTCCAGTTCTAACTATGCCCTAGCTTTCTCCTTGCCTTGACATGTAGGTGTCATATAGTGGGTGCTGGTATTGTTTTGTCTGTTTCCTTTGTGAGAGACTATGGTGGCCCTACTCTCATTATCTCTCCCTTATTGATGTATCCGTAAGGTGAGTTATGCTTCTCTTGCCTCCTTAGATGAGTATGTCGCCACTGAATGAAGTGGAGTCCGTCCTGTTTTATTTCGGCAATCCTGCCCTCTCCTAACTGGTGTTTTACGAAAGCTTCTATTGTTTTGTCCTTGTTAGCAATATTCGCTTCTATTTTCCTGCAGGTTCTTTTTCACCGTCCTCTATATTCGACCTCTACTATTTTCAAGGCTCTTTCCCAAACTTCTTGGGGTGCTATAGTTGAGTGGTCACGCGTTTCTTGGCACCTGCGCTTCCAAATCATCCATAAGGTCGCCAGTCTTAGAACTTGGAAGAAGGAAACTTCGAATCCCTGCCATGCCTTGTCAATGTGTAATCCCAGTAAGAGAGAGATTCGATCTGACGACATTGCTTTGCCAGTGATTGAGAGCCAAAGCCGGAAGGCTTGTGTCCATAACTGTTTGGCTTTTTGGCATTTGAGCAAACGATGTTCTATATCTTCTTGTCAGTCCCTCCTGGCAAATGGAACATAATTCTTGCATACGGGATTGCAACAAGGCGTTCCTTCTTTTGTTCAACCATTTGTTAACTGGGAGCACTCGACGGGCTAGCAGCTATTGGAAGCTTCTTATCTTAACGGGGCAGATGGCGAGCAGTGGACTCCATGAGGATATGAGAGTTTGGTTTGGTGGTAGATTGAGGTGTTTTTCCCATCTTTGGTTGATGATCTGGGCTATTGAGACCGATCTCATTCTTAGGGAATATCCCAGCTCAGTGGAGTATTCAAGGATGTTATGACGCTTCTCTATTCCTAGTCTGCCTAACCTCCTCTTCCAAGCCCATTCTGCTGGGTCGACTTCCAAATCTGCTATTCCCACTAGAGGTTCATATATACGTCGTTCCTCAGATTCTACCCCTCTTACTTTCCTTAATGCTTGTTCTAGAAAGGCTATCTATCCTGTATCTAAGAGGCTTGTGGTTGATCCCGGGTCCTCGATCGTGTATATATCACATACTAACCATGTGTTCTCTGGTCCCTCCCTTGATCTGAACTAATAAGCGACAGTGGGGATGTTTTCGGACCATCGTGTTGCCCACTCCCCTGTTCTCCAGTCACAAGTACCCTTCAGTAGCTCATGCCATCTCTCCGGTACTGCTATCAGGATGTTATTCAGGTTGGCTTGTAGATTGTGGCTTCCCCTCAATGTTCCTCTTAATTCTCCTATCGTTTTCCATCTTTTTCCTGAATCCTGCCAAAGATGTTTGATTTGCCAAACTCCTTTTTTCTAGCCACGCCCCCCATTTTGTATCCTTTGTGGTTAGGGTCCATGGTTTCCCTTGTGGGTCCAACAGCGCTTGGTTATAGAAGATCGGTTGCCTGAGGACTTCTTCTTTAATTGTTGGTTCTCTTACTTTGGCTGGTAATATTTCCCTCCATGTTTTCAATAGTTGCCTCCAAAAATCGTCCTCTTGTTCTTCTTCCTGGTCCCCCTGGTGATTTGTTTGCGCCCCACCTTTCGTAGCCCACGACTTACTCATGATCCAGAAGAGACCACGCATGTTGTCTGGGGTTTCGTATTTGGCTATTTGTTGTATTCTGTGGAGTCCTTGCTTGCTCCAAGGTAGGTGTTATCGGCTATCGTTTTGATGATCCACTTCGTTTGAAGGGCTTGGATTTGGGTTCCCGGGTCCAGAATCCCCAAACCTCCTTGTGATCTCTTTAGAGTGACATACTTCCATGCTCTTTTGGAAGATTCCATAAGGAGTAGATGTTGTGCCTGAGCATAATCTATTTTATCTGAGAACACAGTCAAAGATGTTTGACCAGATTTTCTGCATTCAGTCTTAGCAATCTCTGCACCATTGTTTCGACCTGAACAACTAATGCGAATTCCTTTCACATATTGCATTTTTCAATTTGTTGGAAAATAGATCTACAGATTTGACGAAATGATGTTTTTTTGTTGGAATGAATTTGCCTTTAGACGGGTCTCCCGTCCAGAAATAGGCGGCTGCCCTTCTTCTGAGTTGAACTTTTCGCTGCTTAGGTGGACTCCAAATCGCAGCAGCGTACCACATCATTGCAAAAATTGATGCATTCAGGATCAGGGCTCTGCCAAAGATTGAGGTGTAGACATTGGACCAGCTACCAACACAGCCCCTTCTATTCTGGGGGGCGTCAGTCCGGTTGCTTATCACCGTCACGCATATGTTTGTACAAGCAATGAGGAAGAAAAGACAAAAGAAGAGAGTCAGCCTTGCCCTTGTGGCACGAGCCGCCTAAGCAAGGGGGGGCTGCTGCAGATCGCCCCACGTCCAACCCATGGCCCTTTCGGGGATTGTCTTGCAGGCCAGGAAGCTTACTAGCAGCACCCAGACAAGCGGCAGGGCAATCTCCAGAAGGGGGGTTCGGGGTGGGGGGGTGGGGTGTTCCAGGCAGTCCCTCAGGCCGCATGTCGCCCAACCGTCGCAATGTCATGATTTCCTGGCATATCGGTTCCCCAGGTATTTGCCCACTTTCAACAGGTTTTTCTTTTCTTTTTCTTATTTTAATTTGCCCATTTGCAACAGGGTCTGACGCAGGTTATGACTCGGGGGAGTCAAAGCATTGTCAGGGAATTCTGCAAGGCTGTCAAGAGTTTGGCCTCCTCATGAGTTGGTGAGAGTACAAAGAGACAGTCTGTTGTTACTCCTGCTTTTTATGTGTGCGTATCCTCATGTGCTGTCTGCCTCTGTTTGTTGTGTCTGCATGAGTGTGTGAACCTCTAGGCACCGCCCTGTCACTCTATGGTTTTTTTTTTTTTTTTTTTTTTTTTCAATATGAAGGCCCTTGTGCAAGACCTCTATCCTGGTGGTGGTAAGAGAACCACCGGGATTGAGGCTTTGCCTAGCAGGCCGCTCCATCTATTGGTGGGGAGCAACACCTGCTGGAAACCGGGTCCAGCGTCCCATAGCCCTGTCACTCTATGTTAATGTCCAGGAGCAAATTTCTCCAGCATGGTCAAACAGTGAATAACCATGGGAGCTGTCACATGACACTGGAGAAAGCCGGCCTGCAATCGAGATCTGTGAACTGGGCTCTCCAGGTAAATCTTACAAAGCCATTCTCCCCAAAAATAGGTGCCTTTTCCTGCTGCACAGTGCTTGGGCGGCTCGTAACAAACAGCCTCAGACATTGTTGTGGTTTAACAAAGAAAGGTACATGCATGCCGTCGCTGTAACGTGATCAGACTATGAATTGCCATAGAAGATTCTGCATGGTATGGTGGAAAGCAGATGCTCCCACATAGATAACTCCTGGAAAAAGCTTCTTCTCGCCGAGAATAACACCCCCCCCTGTTTACCGCGTGTGAGCCGTCATTGCATTCCCTGCAACAGACCGAGAGTTGAACATCAGAGGACCTCTTCGCTGACCCTGTGATCGCAGATGGCTGCTGCGCCTGCAGTTGTGTTCAAACATCGCTCTAGCTCGTCCCTTGCAAGTATGCGTGATCCAATGTGGCAGTTTGCCCCTTCCACAAGTCTTTCTGCTTCGCAAAGACCCACCGTGCTCAACTGGAATGTTCTTTGCAAAGATGTAAGCAATCTATGTATGAATACATCCTGGGATGGCAAGTGATCGCGTAGACGGCAAATGAATTCCAGGTGAGACCGTCCCTGGCGCAAAAGTCAGGCAGTTATCAACACACAGGCACAAACCGCCAAGCAGAGGCACCCACTATCCATATCAGTAAAAAATGTGAGTCTGAAAAAGTCCTCTAAATCCCATGAGGAGGACACAGCTCCACATGATATGTAGGCAAGCAAAAGTGATATAGGGCCAGGCCTCATTATCTGATACATGTTCGATCGAGCAATGTATATGGAGCCAAAGGATCTGCCAAGTGATGAAAAGGACTCGAATGGAAAATGCAGCATCAGCGAAGCATCAACAAGCAATGTACATCCAGATACATACAAAAATAGCACAATGTAGCGCAGCGGAAGACTCAAAGATATGACCTGGCCTGTCAGATACTGGCGCGACTCAACCATCACACATCACACATGTGAGAGGGGAGGAGGGACCGCACACATGGACGAAAAGGTCCCTCCTTGCACGCACACATGGGGAGATACCATGGATGAGGTGAGGGAGGAGGGGCGAGACGAAGATGGGTCGAATCAGATCCTGGGCCTCATAGCCCGGCATAGCCTCTGCCTGTCACCTCTCTCTCTCTCTCTATCTCTCTGAAAGAAGAAGAAGACGAAAAAGAAGGAGGAGGAAGAGGAAGGAAGAAGAAGGAGGGTGAGAACAGGAAGAAGAAGAAGAAGATGTCGTCCTCCTCGCTGTCTCACCTGCAGGTACTGTCACCAGGTACTAACGCGCCGGCGTGTCGCTGTGCTGCAGGTCGCTGGCGCGAAGCTCAGCTCTGGCTCCCAGGTACGTACTCCGACGCTCCAGGTATGGCCTCCGCCCTCCTCCCTACCTACACGTCTACCTCTAGCACAGCACTGTATAGCGCAGCTCCAGCAGCGTGTTGCCCAAGAAGTGAGCTACTTGAACTGTGTGTCTGCCCTGGCCTGGCCCAGCTATGTATAGCGCTGGGCCTCGCTGGTGTGCCCCTGGTCCTGGCCTGATACGGCCTGCCTGGGTCCTTACCGGATGTCCAGGCCCTCCCTGCTGATGCAGCAGGGAGTGACCGCTACCGGACGAAAACGAACATGGGCCGAGAGGGCCTGACCACGGATGGAGAAGGCCCAAACTGCAGCCTTGGTCCGAACAGACCTAAGTCTGTTCGGATGTACTGCAAGTCCGAAATGGCACTTGAAACAAACAACAATAGAGCAGCAAATAAATCAATAAATAAATAAATAAATGCTGCCTCAAATCGAACCCTGCGGCCCCAAAGGCTGGCCGTGGGCCTGCAGGGCACATGCCTGAATGGTGTGCGGCCTGGGGACCCCCAGCAACCGCCGGACCCCCGAAATGGGGCCCGCGCACAGGCTTAGCATGTAACATTGTGCGAGGATCTGGGTCCTCGGCAGTCCTAAGGGGGCCCTGCAGCAAATGTGCCCGCCCTAAGTGAAGGTGGGCCAAACAAATTACGAGAGGCCCTTGGCTGTCAATTTCGTATTTGGGGTCCGGGCAGTTTCGTCGCGCCAGTTGGTTGAAGGAAAACACAGGCCGAGCAGCATGGAAATTCCCAGGCCTTCTAGGCCTTTCTGAAAGCACAGGCCCTGGGTGAGATTCGCAGCCTCATACACAGACAGTTGGGAGGCCCAACCGAATGAGGCCCAGTAGCTGCACCAGAGGCGCAGCATCCTGGGGCCTATCGGAAGCTTCTGGGCCCAGGCCAGTCCAGCCAGGCTGCTGAATGAGGCAGGCTCTTTCCATATAGGAAAGAGCTCGCTGCCTGGCGAGGCATTCGGGCACTCGCCTGCTGGCGGCAGCGCTGCTGGAGCTGAAGCTCGTGGGCTGCTGCTAGCGCTGAGCGGCGAGGTGCAAGCACGTGCGGTCGTGCAGAGAACAGGGCGCTGCTGAGGGCAGCGCCATAGCCCAGCCTCCATAGCTGGCGGGCTTGGATGTACAGTGAGGCGCAGGGGTGGTCTTCGGGTGTACAAAGGGAAGATGTGGGAGAGAGACAAGGGAGATAGAGAGAGAAGGATGATGATGATGATGATGTGAGGGCACATGCCTGGTATTGGCGATGGTCTGCATGGGCGACATCTTCAAGTACTTCGGAGGCTGCTGACGTCAACAGTTACATTGTCAATTGATAGGCTAGTAGTAGCTGTGTAGGGAGTAGGCTGGGCGCTGAGCGCCAAGTAGGGAGATAGAGACTGGATACATATGTTGGTGGTGGCGAGAGCAAGCTCTCATTGACATTGACTTTCAGTGCTACGATTCTCCATTGGTGTTATATTGGTGCAATGCTGCTTTCTTGTGATACGATTTGGCTTTCAATATGATTGTGCAATCTGAATATTGTCATCTCGCTTCTGTTCTTTTTCCTTGCAATTTGATATCGGAGCTGGTTCGAACTGCGCTCATTGGTTCTTCGCAATAGCTGTTCGGTGCTTCGCATGAGGTGTGGGGCAGTGATAAGGCTTGGGTGTTGAACGTAAGGCGGCCCAGGGTCGTGTGGGCACGCCAGGGAGCTATGTGGTGACATTAGGGGTGTTTGCTGGATGATGAGAGCTCGCTGATGTGGCATTTAAGCCGAGGTGGAGCTGCATTCTGCTGGTGGTTGTGCCGAGGCAAAGACCGGTCATCATAAATGCACATCAGGTTGCCGGTGAGAAATCTGTGGTTGGGGGCAGCATTACGAGGTATGTTGCTTCCTTCTTTATCTACCCCCTTCATTGCTTCTGACCGTGAAGAAGTGAGTTCTGTCTTGAGAGTCCTCTCAATGTGAGGTGTCGCGAGCACTCAACCTTGAGAGCCGACATTCTTTCTGGGCAGCAAGCTGGTGGGAGACGGGCGATGCCTCTGAAGGGCCCTGGACGAAGCACTCGGGTCACGATCACCATGCCAACCCGCTGGGACTAGTACACGCATGCTTTGCCGCAAGTCCTTAGTTCTGCTGCTGCGCAATAGAGGTCATGCATGCCAACCCTTTGAACAAACGCTTTCTGGCAGGGACTCGGTGTCGATTCTGGCTGTGATCGTCGTCCTGTCTGCGACGTTAAATAATTCCTGAGGAGTCACGGGGAATCTCCTTAAATGCCTCCTGATCAGCCAGATCAAACCGGGTATAAGGCTCGTTGCATGCGCGGATAAATAATGTGCAGGGGCTGGCAAGTTCGGCGTTGACTTGGAGCACAGGGGTGGGCCGGATTGCACACCTTTAGACAAGCTGCTCAACCAGATGCTCAGGGCGTTGACACAAAGTGACAACTCAAGAAGGACACAGGGAGAGGGGGGATTCCGGTAACTGTTCGCGGTGACATTATTAAACAATCTACCATCCAGCATGCATCTCAACAGGTAGGTTATGTTTATTTTGGATTATTTAGTTGTTACAGACTCGTTAACAACCGACAGACAGCTGCAGATAGGTTTGTTTTTTCCTTGCTGCAAGGCAATCTGTGTAAGAGTAATCTAAAAATAGAATTAAAACTTACCTGTAGGATCTGACAGTGGTTGACATCCAACCACCTAACTGTTTTTGTTCAGGCCGATCGAAGATAGTTGTGTATCATAAATCGGTTGTGTGTCATGCTGAGGTAGGATTCAGTGTGGATTCTAGTTTAGATCACACACGCTATAGCTCATGAGTGATGCAAGCAGTAGTGAGGAGTTGTTAGTGGACGACCGTAAGACTACTCGTAGGACTGCTCTCAGTCGACCTTTGCCTTTCCTAGAGTTAAGTCCAGGAGACGAGAGGAGACTGCGGAGAGAGGCTAGAAAAAGAACAATGACAAGAAGAGCGAGGGTGTTTGAGGCTAGTGCCAGGTCTAGGATTACAGCTAGCACCGGTACGACCATGGCTACTTCATCTACCATGTCGCAGGCCTCTTCACAGGCCACTTCGTTAGGAGTTAGTCAAAGTGGTTCTCGGGTTTCCATTAGCCAGAGTGCTGGCTTGCAAGTCAGCCAGCAGGCTCAACTCATGCCGGAGGATTACGAGATCCTCCAAGCAGAAGAACTTAAGGATGAGTTGCAGCGGCAGTTGGATGAAGCAGCAGAGAGGAGAAGAAGAGCAATAATGAGAAAAGCTAGACTAGGTAGTAGATTGCAGGAGCTAGGCAAGCTGGAAGCACTAGATGAGTCCACATTAGATCCTGTATGCAAGCTCTGCGGAATTCGCTCCTGTGTGTGGCGGAGACCCAGGTTGTTCAGCAGGAAGTGTTGGCTGAACTAGTGGCAGGCCAAAAACGAATTTTGGCTGCACTACAGGCTCCTCGTCCAGTGATGAGGCAGCCTCAGTTTGTTGTAGCTCCCCCTTCGGGTGCGGGTCCATCAGTGATGTCGTCGCCGGTAGGGCCTTCATTCTCACCTGAGAGGCGGTTAATGGAAGGCCCAAAATTCGGCGAATTTTGGCGAATTTTTCACCGAAACTGTCATATTTCCCTGAATTTTTACTATTTTCTCAGTTTATCTTTTTGCCTGTTATAGATGTTTGTATTATGACCCTGCATAGTTGGTTCGCAAAAATTTCGACAACATTGCTTGTAGCGACGTGGCAAAAAAACCCGAATTTTTGGCCTTCCATTAACTGCTAGTGTATGTTTAGCATGCCCCCTCCAGGTGGTTATGTGGCAACTAGTGGTCCGGTCCTTAAGAGTCTAAGCCGTATTATCGACGACAGTGGTTACTACAGTCCCACTATCAAGCCAGGCCCAAGTTAGTGTGCAGAAACCTGTTTCGGTGGCTATGCAGCCACTGCAGCAATCCCCTAGGCCAATGCAGCCTATGCAGTGGATGCCCAAAATACCCTTGCTGAGTCCTAAGCCCTTCTCCGATGACAGGAAGAAGGATGAGGATTTGGATTCCTGGGTAAGGACGATGCCTACTTATGTGAGGCACAAGCTTACTAGGACAGAGCAAGAAGTTGTAGTGGCTGCCTCCTTTCTAGAGGGGTCAACAGCCCACTGGTTGAATGGCCTAGTGCAGCAGCAGGGCTACGGTCAGAACTTCGATGCCTGGGCCCAGGCCCAGACATTGGAA